GCTCACCTGTAAATAAAATGCCTACCACAGATAACCCCAGTTGGATGTTTTTTTACATCTCTGATGACAATGGTCCAATTTTCTCTCTGTGTAACTTCATGCAGCCCAAGAGCCTGATCTGAAGGCTTGAATGCTCTGAGGTAAATAAAAATGCCAGCATGAGAACTTTTTGAAACATCAGACCTAGGAAGTTGAAATGAAGCTGCTTTCCTTAGCAAAGGTACTTACATTGTACTGGAGATGGAATCCTCAAAATCTCTCTTAAGAGACGTTTTTTATGCCAATCTCTTCAGGGTCTGAGGGAGCTCGGAGCAAACCCTCAGCTTTGCTGCACCAGCTGGTGATGTGGAAGCTCTGCTCAGTACTGTGTCCCACCAGCAGCACAGCATTGCCCTTTTCTGGGACAAACTAAACCCCAAGCTGAAGGAAAGGAAAACTATGTTACCACCAACACAAGAACTGTACCATGGAGTCACAGAATTATAGGGGATGGAAGGGACCTCTGAAGATCAAGTCCAACCCCTGTGCTGCAGCAGAAACACCCAGGGTAGGTCACTCAGAAACACATCCAGACAGGTCTTGAGTCTCCAGAGAAGGAGACTCCAGATCCTCTCTGGGCAGCCTGTTCCAGAGCTCTGTCACCCTCACAGGAAAGTTCTTCTTCCTCATGTTGAGGTGGAACTTCCAGTGTTGTCACTTGGTGCTGTTTCCCCTCGTCCTGTTACAGGGCACCACTGAACAGAGACTGGCCCATTCTTGACAACCACCCTGCAGATATTTATAGGCATTAACAAGGCCCCCTCTCAGTCTTCCCTGTACACACAGCAGATTTGGAAAATGATCAAAAAGTTCAACTTTCCAACACTGGCTGAATCGCAGGAATTACTGAATTTAAACTCAACCAGCATCACCAACTTCAATAACGTGCATTACGTCCAATTTTACAAGAACCAACATGTTATTTTTAGTCTGTTTCAACAAATGAATGTGCAATGCTCTCAAGAATGAGGCAGCAGCAGCAGGAGCTCTGTGGATGAAGCCTGTGCCTGTTTAATCATTAGAAGGGCACGGAAGTTTATTCCACACAGATTCCCACGCAGAAGCCTGCACTCATCTGCACTTTCCTGGCAGCTGAGTGAAAAAGCTTTGCTTCCTTCTCTGCAATTCCCAAAACCCATTGCAACACATCCCCTGAACGTTAAGTAATCCTCAGTTACAACCATTTTTTACAAAGACAGATTCTTAAAAAGTCCCTGAGCCTTGAAACTCCCTCCCTCCCCCTCATCTCACCCCTCAAAATTTACGCTATACAAGTTGAAACTGAACTAGTTTCTAGAATCCTACCAGTGCATCCTTGCAATAAAAACACTGCAGAGAAAAGTAGTAATAAATCAAAGAGGGCAAAAAGCAACATAGGAAAATATTATCCATGCTGGGACACATTGTAAGGACATAGGTGATCCACAAAGGGAATGGGAGGAATAGCACAAACCACCTTTTGATAATTGTGAAAGCAACAAGGACAGTGATTAGAAATAAATTTTAATTGAAAAATCCTCAACCAAAAAGCCTGAATGAAGCACACGTTGAGTGCCAGAGGGAGCTCAGGGACACACCATGTGCTGCTCAGCTTTTTGGGTTAGACAATTAAATGAAGCAATTAGATTTCAGAAAGTAGGCAATTATTTTAGGCCTGAAACAAAGGCTGGAGGAAATACAGCTGCCTGTGTTTGGGGCATGGAGAAAAAGGAAAACAACGCATCACATTTGAAATATTCACCACAACCCATTTGTGTAAGAGGAATTTTAATTAAAAGTCTGCAAAACTTCTCTTAACTCAGTAAAGAAAATAATGCAATTTAAAAAACCCATCTTAATATCTGAGGTGTAAGTGAAATCTTCAAACACCATAGGGAATGGCAAGCAAGTAGTGAAATGGGGCTGCAAAGTGACATGTTCCTGAGGGTTGGCAGAGAATTGTCTTACACTTCCCTGAGTAAGAGCATTCTAATGCTATTCCTGCTAGGAAAACTGTGACCTTTTTAGCACTTCTAAGAAATTCAGTGACAAAGATTTGGCTTTTTTATGTTCCAAAAAGGGCACTGGTAACCTTACACCTCTTTAGCACCCCTCCCTGCTTTATAGGTGTCCTTAACATTTATCTTCTCCCAACTGGAGTTCTCATCACAGACAATAATCCTGTAATAAAACCCAGTTCACTTTATGTTGGTTTTAAGGAAGTATTTTTTAATGAAATGTGCACCATATTATACAATATCAAACTTTAATTACTGTTGTAAAAATATGTATGAATCCAAAATACTTATTGGAAAATAAAACACATTGTCTTACAAATTGCCCATTTTTCCCTTACCCCTCCCCCCCAGTAAAAAAAGCTTTTATTCCCTTTGTTCCATTTGATTTTGTTCGAACACAATCAAGTGTTTAATCTCTAATAAAAAGTTTTTAATTGGCCCTGAGGTACCTCACAGGTTGATACAGCCTGGATTATTGCTTTCATACACAGTAAAATACCAACTATGCACAAACCCTTAAAGAAATGAGGTTTTTTTCTCTTCTGAGGCACCATATTTCTTGTAGCTGATGAACACTTGGCTACAACCAAGTTATTCCTACTGATTCCTACCCTGGATATATGCAGTAGGCAGTATATTTCTTTTCATGTTCCAGATAAATCTATCTTCAGAAGACTTATTACAAGTGGATAAGAAAAACATGCTGCTGGACAGACTGAACTTGGAACTGCTGCAGAGCTGTTCCACCACAAACATCTGACTTCACTCCTACTCCACTCTGCTCACAGAGACTGATTAGAGGCACGAAGGAGAAAAGTCTGAAGGGATCATTTGCTTTAAATCATGTAGAACAAAGACTGTGTCTTCGAAAGAAAAACCTTTTGAGCTAGTCATTTAGCTGAAGGCCAGCACTGTGCCTCCTCCTGGAAGTCTGGCAATGAACCTGACAAGTACTGGAGCAAGTACCTAGAGAGAACTGTACCTGCCCAGAAGTGGGAACTCCTGTGTTAGAATTACTGCTCCTTTGTCTGGATATAATCACTGATATTTAATATACTACAATTAGAAAAATAGTTGTGAGAATAATTTAAGGAATAACCTTAATGAAAAGGCAAGTTTCCATTGAACTACAATCAAGTATTCAAGTGTCATAATCTGAACTAAAGACACCAACTGCAACAAAACCCTGAAAATCATCAGTGTCAACATTGAGGCAGAGGAGAGGTCTGTGCTGACACCCCCCCCCAGCCCTCACAGTGTTGCTGAGGTGTAAAAATAACTGCAGAGGACCTCAAAGTCATCCAGGTACAGTAGCAAAAAGGAAGCCTCTCCTCTTCAAGTACTCATTTATGCAGTTAGGATGATGCCTGCTGTAACAAATAATCCTACTTGTTCAAGCAATAATGATTTCAGAGAACTTTTCCCCCCTGGCATAGGGGACAGTCTCCAGAGGCACCTACAGCCCTGCATGTCAGTGCAATTTTTCCAGTCTTAGATGTGAAGGGCATTTTTTGAACTGTTCCAAATGAAAGCTGAAAACTGAATCTGGTTGTCAAGGTTTAACATTGGGCCAGCAACTAAAGGAATGACAGATGCTCTCTAGTAACTCCTCTCCCTTCCCAGAACGGGAAGGGATTAATGGAGAGACGACAGGTTGGAAACTGAACTAAAAAGCTTGAATGAAACTCATGTTAAAAAAAAAAAAATGTACAAAGATATACAAACCAAATACTGTGCTTCCCCCCCAATAACATCATGGAGGCTGTGGGGCAGGCCCTGGGAAAATCCTGGAGTGGGCTCCTGGATCAGATTCAGGAAGGCATGGATCAAGATGAAAGGCAGGAGAAAGGACTGAGTCCTCCCAAGATCCAGGCCATGAACACAGAGAATTGAAACCTGGGGGTAGCTCAGGTTTATATTGAACATGACAACATGGGATGGAAATCTTGATTTAGCCAATTCTGGGTCACCTGTCTGGTCTGCTCTAACTCACAGCAGGGTCACAGGTCTGACCTCTTCACTCCCTTTTGTTTCTGGCATTTAAGAAGTTCAGCAGAAAGAAGCAGTGACCTGGGTTCTAGACACCATTCCCCAGCAAGACCTGTAAACATCCAGTGTTTTCAGTCCTAGAAGCAGACTGTTCATTTCAGAAAGGACAGTCACTTAGAACTGAAAAGTAAAATTACAGCAAAGATTCCTAATTAAAAATCTTAAAAACACTCGAGGCAGTAAAAAAAGGCTGCTGTAAACATCTGGGAAACACATCATTTCCTTGATAGTTTCAGAATATTCCCTTTAGGAGGATGAAGGCAGTTGACACAGACATTTGATTTCAACTAGTTCATTTTCAACCCAGGCACATTTTTTTGCCAAGAAAAAGCCACCACAGGAGTTCCTAGCCCTCCTGCACTGCAGTCTTGGGGCCTGAGGTTCCAGTTGTCTTCCAGAGAGCACATTTGATGAACTATGGAAGAGATCACCTTATACTACTCAAAAAGAAAAAGAATGCAGCTAATAGGACTGTTCCTCCCCTCTTTCACACTAAAGTTAAACCAGGCCACAAGAAAAAAATAAAATCCAACCTCCCTCTGAAATTTTACTGCCTCAGAAGTGCCTGAGTCTCTGTGTCTCCAGAGAAGATATATCTGAAAAGCACCTGCAGTAAAATAAACTGTGTTTTCAGGAGGGAAGTAAAAAAAAAAAGTGTGAGAATTTCTCTAAAATGATGTTTAGGTCTTCTAAAAGTTGACATCTCTTAAGAGAAGCATCAAATTACAAAGCATTACCTGAAGGGAATGTGGATTTATGTTAATCTTCATCTGACCATAAATCAACCTCTTAAGGCACATTGACTAATAGCAGAACAATTACAGAACTAATTATATTGATTTTGCTTCAGAAGGCACTTTCAACATTTTTTCACCCCTATCTGTGGGACCTGGAAAGGTTTTTTTGGTCTCGATTTCACCTGGTTTCAGGGTTCAGCTCCTTGAGCTTCTGTTCAACTGTGTCTGCCACCAAATTCAGGTGACATTCCCGAAGAGCTTTTATTAAGTCACTCGCCTTGGCATCTCTTCCCTTCCATCTCTGCCACTGCAGGAGTGACTGAGTGAACTGTTCATGCAAGTTACACGGATTGGCTACTATTATTCTTTCAATTTGCACTTCAGAAACACCCAGTTTTCTGACCAGCCTTTTCCAGTCTTTTGCAACGTTGTCACATATGATTTCAATAGCTGCCCTCAGACGACCTGGAAGGCAGAAAAACATTGGGACTTAGTGATGGATTCACCAAGAAAAACGAGAATATAGGGATTTTTTTTTCTTGTTTTGGTTTGGTTTTTAGCAAAATGCTACTACTCCTGCTGCGTGACACATACAGAAAGTCACACCACGTTCTGAAAAGCTGCTGGATACACTCGGAATCTCAAGCACACAGCACGACTTCCAAGCGACCGTTCATTATCAAACAAGACATTTCCACGCCGGAAAGCTGTTTGCAGCATCGGCTGCCCTCCTGGGGCGTTCCCAGGGCCCAAGACAGAGCTGTGCAGCAGCTCCCAGCAGCAGCACCCTGAGCAGGGAGCTCAGGGGGGGCAGAGCAGCCGAGATGCTCGCCCTGAGCACCCACCGCTGGAGGATGTGCACAGACACCCTGAGGCTGCTTTGGAGGGGAAGGGGGGGGGGAATAAAAACCCGAATTACTCCACCTACGTTTTTCATGCGCGTCCGGCTGCTCCTCAGGAGCAGTAACTTCTCCATCCTCCACGAACTGGTGCAGCCGCGAGACCAAATCCTCTCTTTTAATTTCCTTCAGCAGCTCCTCCAGCAGCTCCAGCCTGTCGCTGGCGGTCAGCTTATGCTCCATCA